CGCTTCCAGGAGCGAGGGGCGGGACCGGAAGTAGGTCACATCTCCCGGTTGCTAAGAGACTGGGCTGCCACAAACCAGAGGTTCTCTGACTTCTTTTCCTACCTTTCTCCTCTTCAGCGTCTCCGAATCCCGTCATCATGTCGGAGCCAGAAACTGAAGCCTTGCGAAGCACCTTTCTCTCTTACATGGCGGAGGGCGAGCGGCTCTATCTCTGCGGGGAGTTCTCTAAAGCCGCCCTTAGCTTCAGCAACGTGAGTGCGCCCTGAACCTGTCACCCATCACCACTTTGGATTCCTGAACCGAGGTCCTGATGATGCCTGGAGGACCCTATTGTTTCTATTATTCACTTGTTCCTGATTGATGCACCACTGTGACAGATAAGCCCCCCTGAACCATTTTCTTCCAGTTCCCACTTGCGTTCTGTCTGATCCTTAAAAACCATTCTGTGCATTAACAATGAGCTCTTCTATTTTTTTACTCAAATGTTTGGTGATTGACTGGCCTTCTAAAGAGCAGCCTCAATTTCTCATCATTGAGGGAGGGGAGATTCCCACCATGGCAGGGAGATTGGCTGGCACCCAGTTGCTCTTGGAAGATGGTCAGTAAATAACTAATAGTGTTATACAGAACCTTAGCATACATTGCTCCACCCCACCCTAAGAGGACTGAGTGCTGTTTAGAACACCAGGCACACTGCTAAGCACAGTACAAGCCTATGGGAGAAGTACTGTTATTACTCAATTTTATAGATAAGGAAACTGATAACGTTGAGTAACATGCCCAAGATCAGTGAACTAGCAAGTGGCAGAGGAAAGATTGAACCCCAGGCACTGAGACTCCAGTGCTGTGATGCTAACCACGGACTATACTCCCCACAAGTAAGCTATTAGAAGTTCGTATAACAATTTCTTTTACAACAAATAGCCTGCTTCTTATTCCAACTGGAGTGGCAGAATAGCTCTCTAATCAGCCCCAAGACTCTCCTAAAGTCAAGCTTCTCAACTGCCACCCAGAATCTTTTATCCCTTCGATCACCAACCACACTCTAAAACCAGAAATGATTGACCAGAGGAGTCAACCATTGAGTTTAGGAGTCCTGCCCCTACCCACTCCCCTCGCTCTGGATCAGGTTTCATCCTGGAGAAGCTCTGGCAGAGAGAAAAGAACACCCTGAGGGAAGATAGCTTAGAAGCGGCCTTTTTCCTTGAAAGTGAGTAGCTACATCTTCCTGGAAAAGTGGGGAGGGGTTAGAAAGGGGCCCATACAGTCCATGCATCAGGAAGGACAGTACTCCACAGACTATGGTAATGATCTCAAACAGAAGGAGAAGAGGACATGGGGAGAAGGAAAGCATTCTGCTCCCATTTTAGGGCCAAAATCACAGTTTCAGTTTTGCTAGCATTTTCATCTTAATCCCCTGAAATGGCGATTCATTCTCAATCAGCTATGTAAAAAGAGAGCTCGTGGAATGGCCACCTCGAGTTGCAGATTGTCCTAAAATCTGTTTTGTCAGCCTTCATAATGCTTAGCCTTTGGATTGTATTTTGAGTGTGTTGTGCAGCCATTTCAGGTTTGTGGTTGAATTTGGTGTGAACCAAACATACCCTATTGTTTGAGTGGACTGGAGGAATCCCAGACACTCGGGGAAATTCAATATAGCCACAGAGTAGTGTATTCTCACATATCAACCAGTGGCTTCCACAAAGCTTGTGACTTGACCTTGTTCAAGATGAGCCGCTTGCAAATAATCAAGCTGACTAAGCAAAGATCAATATTGTACTGCTTTTGGTCTGATAAGATCCAAAGACCTGGGCCGGCCGAGTGGCTCAGTTGGTTAAGAGCTCGCTCAAGAGTTTGAGCTCTGAATAACAGTGGTTCAAGTCCCGCCCCGAGTTGAGCAGCCGCTGAGCTGCCAACAGGTGGCAGGATGGCTCAGCTAAAAAAAAATAAAAGATCCAAAGACCTGTTTACTGCCCCTAGGAGTCCCCTTGAAACTCTGGCAGGAGGGTTTGGGCTGCTATTTCCAGCCCAGCTTCTATAGGGCAACTGCCTGGTATCTGTCAACCTGAGTGGTTCCTTTCTCAGGCTCTTCGACTTCAGAATAGCGATAAGAACTGCCTGGTTGCCCGCTCCAAGTGCTTCCTGAAGATGGGAGAGTTGGAGAAATCCCTGAAGGATGCTGAAGCTTCACTCGAGGGTGACCCGACTTTCTGCAAGGTGACTGTATGGGTGGAGGACTCCATCTTGCTTTCCCCGCTGCCACTGTCTGCAGCAGCCTCTGCTTAGAAGTGGTAGAAGAACCAGGAAGACCGCCTAGAGTGTGATGCCATTTTCTCTTCAGAGGTCACTTGCCCAGCTCCTTGCCCCTGTATTCCAACCTTGACCCTCAACCCAGGACCCTTCTGTTCCACCATACCTGAGTCCTGTAAGGCCTTGTCTGTCCACCTCAATGGTGCTTCCTCTCATTTTTTCAGGGGATTTTACAAAAGGCCGAGACCCTGTATACCATGGGAGACTTTGAATTTGCCTTGGTGTTCTATCATCGAGGCTATAAGCTGCGGCCTGATCGGGAATTCAAAGTTGGAATTCAGAAAGCCCAGGAAGCCATCAACAACTCAGTGGGAAGTGAGTGACACAGGGCCTATGCCATTGTCCAGGAAATCTCTTGAAACACCTTAGGTTTGGAAGGAGGCCTGAGGTGCCTTGGGTGAGCAACCACCAGGAGGCCTGCTGGGAGTCCCATGCTTTGATTTGGCTGCTGCTGATTTTGTTGAGAATTAGGAACTGTCCACTGGGAGGGCCAATCCCCGATCCACTGTACTGAGCACTGCAGTGTCTGGTTCTCCTCAAAGACAGATGAGAAGGGCTGTTTCACTCACCACCAACCAGATGAGTAGGCCTAGTTTTGGCCTGGTATCATAGGGCAGAATGGAGTCCTGAGCTTAGTCCTCCCTAATCTCTGGCTTCCTCCCTCACCACCTGTTCACCAAGGGCTGGCCTTACCTTTCAGCTCAGTGGCAGGGGGGAGGAGGAAGGAAAGCAAGAGCTTGCCAGTGAGCAGCGGAATGTGGAATGGCATGGAATGGAGCGCAACCCTCGTTTGCAAATCTGGCTAGTGGGGGCTGCCTCCTTCCTACAAAAGTATTGCTCCAAACACCCTGTACCATTTGCCTGCCAGGCTGGCTCAGAGCCTGCTTTGCAACAACCTCTACCACCCCCCTGCCAAAGGCAGCCATTTCCACATAAAAATATGTGATAAGTCATGCTGAGGGCCTGGCTGACCTGAGCCCCCACTTCTGTTCTTGCAGGTCCTTCTTCGATTAAACTGGAGAACAAAGGGGACCTCTCCTTCTTAAGCAAGCAGGCTGAGGTAAGGACCCTGGTTCTGACACCACATCCTTCTGAGGGAAGAAGCCACGTGTGCCTGAGTTGCACAGGTCTTAGTGGGCCTCTTGCCTGGGAACAACTCACTCCTGCCTATCACGGGCAGCCGTGGGATTCTGCCCCAGCTCTGGAGGGGTCCTGGGAGTCTAGTTGTTCCCAGACCAGACACACTCCATGGGTCTCAGCCCAGAAAGAGGTCCTGGAGGAGGAGTCTGGTATTACAGATCCTGAGGCCCTGACGGGGTTCTCTGTGCTCCTTGCTGAGCCTCTGTCCGGTGTTGCTCTGTCTTCCTAGAATATGAAAGCCCTGCAGAAGCCTCAGCCCGTGAGACATCTCTTATACCACCCTGAGACAGAGTCTAAGAGGAAGGGCTCGCTCAAGAGTAAGAAAACTGTCCGCCAGCTCCTGGGCGAGCTCTACGTGGACAAGGAGTATCTACAGAAGCTCCTATTGGATGAAGGTTCCGGACACTTTGTTTGCAACAGGGAACGGGGCAAAGGGAACCTAGGGTGGATGTGTAATGCATGAGGCAGAGGCAGAGCCTATTGTATCCTATTAGCCAACATGTTCTTATGGACAGTTTTACTAACATTCTCACTTTACAGACGAGGAAATTGAAACGCAGAAAGGTTAAGTAACTCACCTAAAGTCAGTGACATGTCTTTCCGATTTGAATCCAGGAAGTTCAATTTCAGTATCCATGCTCTTAAGCGATTTGGTACCCTGGGAGGGAACACCAGAGATTTGGGTTCCTCTACCACCAGGGTGTCTGAAGGGGCAATTCCCTGGGCCTTCAACCTGTACAAAGGGCCAAGAAATCCAGTTGGGAGGCACTAGAAGGCGAGTCCTAGGACACTAGCACTAGAATGTCCCGAACCTCATCTGGTCCAACCCCTCCTTTTATGGATACAGCAAGAGAGACCCTGAATAGGGAATAACTTGTCCAAGTTGACAAAGCAAGCTAAGGGTGGAGCCGACACCAGAACTCAGGCTTCCTGACATCTGGTCTAATGCTCTTTCCACCACACTGTGCCAGCAGTGACCGGAAATAGGACAGAGTCTTGAAACGAATGCCTCACATAAGCATGAGGGATGGGCGTATTGCCATTAGCTGATAAGCCTGAGCAGGAATCGCCCTTGAGTCAAATGCCTTTTCCCCAGAACTGACTCCCAAGGTCATCTGCAAGATTCCCTGTAGATCTGTGTGACCAGAGCAGCTTCACTGCTGGCACATGTCTGTACCAGGCCTGAACGCTTCTCTCCCCCCAGAGGAGCTTCTGTGGAGGGAAGGGGTGGCCTGGGCATGACGCCAAGTGGCCTTGCAGCTTTGCTGCCAGCTGTAACCTCTGTTCAGGCGGCGGCCAGGACTTGGGCACATGCCTCCAGCTCCCAGCTCGCACGGGCCCACTTAGCACCTAGGAAACCAGTTGGCACTGGCAACCTGGGCCAGGTCGTGCGTTTAGACTCTGTCTTCTCTGGGGACACAGCTTGAAATGGGGGAGCCCTGAGGGCTGGGGCCTACCCATCAGCTGCCCCTTCTGTTAGCTCCTCATATCTTGCCATAAGGGGTCTATGTGTAATAATAAGCTCTGTACCATGGGAGTGCCTGAAAGGGGGGCTCTGGCCTCAACTGGGCCCGGATAGACCCGCTCTGCCACTCGTGCTCTTGCTTTCCTCACTGTTTCCACAACTCCAGCTGGGCTGACCGCCCCACAGGGGGTCCCACAGCAAGGACCCCAAGGGAGGAGGAGGCGACTCGCTTAGACGCCTGCTCTGGTTGGTTCCTCCTCACACCCTTCCCCACAGATCTGATCAAAGGTACCATCAAGCATGGCCTGACTGTGAAGGACCTCATCACGGCGGGCATCAACTACCTGGACACCCGCAGTGACTTCTGGAGGCAGCAGAAGCCCATCTATGCCAGGGAGCGCGACCGGAATCTGATGCAAGAGAAATGGCTGCGGGAGCGCAAACGCCGCCCCTCGCAGACAGCCCGTTACATCCTCAAGAGCCTGGAGGACATTGACATGTGTGGGTGGTGTTCTCAGAAGGGTGGGATCTCTTCCAGGTGGAAGGGAGCAACAGAGTAGTCTGAGCCTCTGGCTTCCCTGGGCTGTGGAGGGTTATCTCCGGGGAGGCAGTTTCTCCCAACAGCCATGAGGAGGCTGCTCTCCCCTTCACATCACCTCTTTTCCTTCCCAGTGCTGACCAGTGGCAGTGCTGAAGGGAGCCTTCAGAAAGCGGAGAAAGTGCTGAAGAAGGTGCTGGAATGGAACAAAGAAGATGTGCCCAACAAGGATGAGTTGGTTGGAAACTTGTACAGCTGCATGGGGAATGCCCAGATTGAGCTGGGGCAGATGGTAGCAGCCCTGCAGAGCCACAGGAAGGACCTGGAGATCGCCAAGGAACAGTGAGTCACTGGGGAGTCTGAGCGGCCAAGGCCCAGCGGCCTACAGAGGAGTGGGGCTGGGGCGAGGGCTCGCCCTTCTGCCTGGGCTGCGCCACCAGCCCAGGACTGAGGATAAGAGACAGACTGAGACTGTCAGTTTTGTTGGTGTTTTTTTGCCACAAAGAGGAGAGCAGTACCCCCAAACTCTAAAAAGCTCCCAGTGGCCTGGCTGTTAGGGATATTTTCATTCTTACACCATCTCAACAAGCATTCCTCAACCTCCAACATGCCAGATGCTATTAGCATTGGGAACACAACAATGATCAGACACAAGGGTCACTTCCCTGCAGGTTTCAAATAAAAAGTGACATAGCTAATAAATTGCTATTGTGTTAAGTGTCATGAAGGAAAAGTACAGGACCCAGTGCTATGAGAAGTACATCCCAGGAGGACATGGCTGGGCGTTGGGGAACACACTTGGCCTGTGGGAAGGCCCTGAGGCAGGCGGGAGGATGCTTCAGGCTGGAGAGCATAGGGTGTTGCGAGGGGAAGAGTGGCCAAGAGGAGGCTGGACCAAGTGGGAGGAGTCGGATCCAGCAGGGCCTCAGAAACCATGGTGCTGACCAATTGCCTGGGCTCTGGAGTCGGGCCGACCTAGGCTTTAGAATTGTACTTCCCAGCCGTGGTACCTTGGACAAGGCACTTAACCTCTCTCAGCTTCAATGGTCCCTTCCGTTAGATGGACATAGTAATAGCCCCACCTGATAATTGGGAGGGGGGATGGCATGTAGAGTACATGTAAAGATCTCAGGACATTGCTAGGTATCCATAGTAACAGTAATACCAACTCTCCCAGGAATCAGCTCTTCCCCAAAACTTGATGGCCTGCTCTCAGAGGTCTCATGGCTTTCTGGGCACCTGGTCTGAACCTTTGGAGTCTTTCATGATTTTCTGCTTCACGGTTCCTACTTGCCCCACAGCTCTGAGCCTCTTTCAGTCTCCCATCATCCTGTTTCCACTCACAGGTCCACCCTCAGCTCTCCCTGACTTTAGCTGCTCCCACATGTCCCCTCCAGAGACGCCCTGCATTTCATCTGTCCACCCTCCTTCCCCTGCTGACAGACAGGCCTTGGCCCCCCATTGCCTGCAGGCTAAAACCAAATGCCTTTGCTTGGCACTCCAGGCCCTCTCTGAGCCTACGTCTACACAGCCCTCTGGCGTCAGTCCTCCATTTGGGACAAACTGGATTGCCTGGGTTGCCTGCCTCATGCCCACTCCGTCTCACTCATCCGAACTCTGCAACCTGTTTATTCCTGGTTTGTTTCTCACCTGCCTCCACCATGCTGCGCAGGAATATCATGTATTGGTCATTCCAAGAGTAGAAAACAAACAAACAACCAGCTTTGGAGACACCTGACTTTGACTACTGGTTCTGGCACTCAGAAGCTGTGTAGATTTGATTCGGTTGCTCACCTTCTCAGTTTCCTCATTTGTAGTGAAGACATAATAATACCAACTCTCAGGGATTATGCAGATTAAGTAAAATATAAAAATATACAGCGCTTTGGATCCAACTATGTCCCATGCCCTAAAGACATAGATACGTCTTTACTTCAGGCCAGACTCCCTCCCGAGCCCCAGACCTGCATGTCCAACTGACTCCAAGGCATTTCTGCTTGGATGTTCCACAGGAACCCCAAATTTAGCATGCTCAGAGTGGAATCCCTTATCTTCCTCCCAAACCTCTTGCTTCAGGGTTCCCTATCCGGGAGGATGGCGCTCACTGTTGGCCACTCAGTCCCCAGGAAGGAGCCCAGGTGGCTTCCCAGGCATCTCCCTGCCCTCACTGCTCACGTCTGGCTCACCCATGTCCTGTCCATGCCTCCTCCTGCCTGTCTCCTGGAGCACCTTCCCTTCTGTTTCCCTCTCACAGCTCAGTCCAGACCCTCCTCACTTCTAACCTGGATTTCCTGCAGCCCAGCTGGTCCTTCTGTGCAAAACAAATCCAATGGTTGGGATAGAGTTCAAGTGCCCAGTTCTGCCACCTTTCCTGACCTGACTTGTCCTGGCCTCCCTTGACCCAGCTCTCTCCAGGCCCCTGGGCATCTGTGCCCCAGCCAACACCTGTGTCTCTGCTCCTGATAGTCCCTAAATGGAACCTCCTTTTCTTTTGCCAGGCTTTTCTTCATCAACTCTCTCCTACCCATCCTTCAAAATTTAAATAAGTGTCTCCCTTTTGGGAAAGCTTTCCATGCTCCTGAGGAATAATTTAGAAATCCCTCCTCTGTGCTCCCTCTCTACCCTCTACCTGTATCCTGCCCTGCCCTGTTAGACTCTGGACGGGACTCGTAGATTCCCTTTTTCTTCCCAACACCTGCCACAAGTAGGCATGTGTGCTAAAAAATGTGTGCTAAGTGGCTGAAGAAACAGGGGTGTTCCTTAAACAAAGTTAGTTCCTTTTTAACATCTGCAAACAGGCCCCCAGTCTTACTTGTGAGTTCAGGGTGCCCCATGTGCTCCCTCATTCTAATCAGCCTTGACCCTTCCTCTCTACCCCTCCCCCCAGAAGCCTATCAGCATTGGAGGCGCTGTTCAAACCCCAACTTGTCTAAGTAACTTCTTTAGTGACCCCAGCCCTCATTTCTTTCTCCAAATGCTCTATAGATTATTTGATTGCATGCTTTCTCATTGTTATTATTATTATCTTATGACATGTTATTGTTATGAATAACATTACAACTTATTCATTCATCATTACATCATAACAGAGCACCCAGTTTGGAAGGGGAGGCTGACATCAGAGGTGCTGCGAGAGCAGCAGGTACAAAGTATGGCTGAGGGTCCAAGTAGAAAGGCAGGTGGGAGCACAGCGGGAAGCTGAGGAGGCTCCCGAGAGGACAGGAGACTCAGCAAGGGGGATGAGGGCGAGGGAGAGGGGCACCTTAGGAAGAGGGGCATGGCATGGTTGGAGGATTTGGGGAACTGCAGGTAGCGTGGCGGGGATCTGTGGGGAGTGGGGGGACCAGGTGTCACCCTGAGGAGGAAGGGCCTTATCCCGAAGGTACTAAGGGCCATGAATTTGATTTCACACAGGTATTACAGTGCTGTACTTGATTCACAGCTCTGTGGTACTGAGGGCAGAACGTGAAAGTCTTTCCCCTCCTCTGCCCCCAGGACCATACTTCCCTGGGACCATATTGAGAAGTGTCCTTCTGGTCCCTTTTCAATGTATTTACCTGCATATTTATGTACATCTCTACATACATAGGATTTTTAAAGCAAAAACAACTCATTTCTGTGTTTCTTTTGGTCCCATTCTTTGAATGGCTGCACAGAAAGGTATTTCAGTTCGAACGGGAGTTTATGGGACGACATCTTTGTGGGCATTTGGGCTGCAGGGCTGTGGTGGGACTCCGCAGATGTGTGGGAGCACCTCTGTGGGGAGAGCAATGGTTTGATCAGATTTGCATTTTAGAAAACGCTGGCCACCCGGGAGACTGGGTCAGAGGAGAGTTTCACGGAAGACATGGCAGCCTCTGGGTTGCAGGGCTTTGAGGGGCACAGAGGAACTGGGAAGGGAGAGGGTGAGAGGGGTGGCTGGTGGAGGGGATCTGGGATTCGGGGGGCAGGGAGGTTCTTGTTTTATTTGTTAGGAAGGTGGCAATGTTCAACAGAGATCAGAATGTCCACATGGTAAAGAATGGATGTCGGGGGCACAATTGTCTTTTTCTTTAGGGAAAGCGCTCACTTTCCTGGTGACATGTGAATACTGTAAAACAGTTACATTTAAAATTAAAAGTTTCCCTCATACTCTTATTTCCCTTAGGTAACCATCACTTATAGACTTACATCCTCTCTTCTTTTAAAAATGCCCACTTTTTACTTATTTACTTATTTTGGGGGGGAGGGTTTAAAACAACACACTTTTATTATGTTACAATTCTGGAGGTTAGAAGTCTGACGGCAGCTTCACTGGGTGAAAATCATGGCGTTGGCAGGGCCGTACTCCCTCCAGTGGCTGTAGGGGAGAGTCTGTTTCCTTGCCTGTCCCAGCTTCTAGAGCTGCATTCATCGCACTCCGTGGCTCCTGGCCCCTTTCTCTATCTCCAAAGTTAGGAGCACAGCATCCCACTTCAGGCCCGCCTATTCATTTTTAACACAAATGGGGCAATACACATAGTATATACACTCCTATCACCTGACTTTTTAACTCTATCAGGGACTTTTCCACCCCCCCACCCCCCCATATACAAAAATTACCAGTGCTAAGGCACTGATGAAGTTTAGATTGTTTCCAATGTGTATTGTAAACACCGCTTTAATGAGTGCCCTCACATTATGCTCTTGAGGTCAATTCCTAGAAGGGGAGTTACTACATCAAAGGACCTAATCTGCAAGCTGTTGACTAATCGCCTCAGGAAATGTCCTGATACTGTTCACTTCTGACTGCAGGGCATGACAGGGACTGTGTGATAGCCTTACCAGCCTGGGCATGTACCTCAAACTGGACCCAGTCCCTGAGACTAGGGCACCTGTCTTTGACTTCTTTTCCGTTTCCACAGTACCTAGAACGGCCCATTTCTAGTGAACAATTTGTCACGATTCTTCCCCACAGTGACCTTCCTGATGCCAAGTCAAGAGCCCTTGACAACATTGGCAGGGTTTTTGCCAGAGTTGGGAAATTCCAGCAAGCCATTGACACGTGAGTGACCAAGGACTGCCCCTTCCCCACCTCCTGGCCAGAACTGCCCACCCTCACACCGGACTCCCAGCCTGGGGCCAGGATGCCAGGCAAAGAGGCAGAAGAAGACCCGCATTTGGCACCTGGCTCTGCTAGGCGACCATGGGCAAGCCACTTTGTAAACCCTGGGGCTCATCAGTTAAATTCATTAATAGACTAGAATCAGCATTTTCTCAAAATGTCCCAGTGATGAGAATCACCAGCAGCATTTGTTAGGTATGTGAATTTATTGGGCCTCTTCCCTGGCAACTTTGATTCTACAGGTTCGGGTTGGCGCTCAGGGATCTGTTTTTAACGACGCCAGGTGATCTTTACCTTGGGCCAGTTCAGGAACTGGTGGACCCTTTGAGTCTGGGACTGCTTCTGACGCTATTCTGTGATTCTGTGGTTATGTGGAGTCAATGGGAATAGAGTCTGAACTCTCCAGGTAGCCCAACTGCTGGACTTTTGATGTCTTACCCTGGGGCTAGTGACAGTGGGGTGATTTAGCCCCAGGGAGACTCGGGGGGAGGGCCTGACCTGGAGACTGGCCTGTGCAGGGATTGGTAGCTCCTTGGGCTACTTACTTAGTGCAGAGATAGTGCCTTTAGGCCCTCCTCACTTGATTGAAATAATCTTGTTACCTCTGCTACACTTCATTTGGTTTCCTGACCTGTCCCTGGGGTCTATGTGCCAAAAGACAAAGGAGTAGGCGAGTTCACCCACCTATTAGTATCTTGCTTTTTTTTCTATTAGTATCTTTTTATAATAAAAAGTTTTATGGTCAATATGTGCTCATTATTAAAATCTTAATTTGGAAAATACAGAAAAGTCGAAGAAAAATTTTTCAGTCCCACCATCGAAAGATAAGTACTAATTCTAATCCTTCTCTTACTTTTATTTATTTTTTAAGATTTTAATTGGGGAACAGTGTGTTTTTCCAGGACCCATCAGCTCCAAGTCAAATAGTTGTTTCAATCTAGTTGTGGAGGGCGCAGCTCAGTGGCCCATGCGGGGATCGAACCAGCAACCTTGGTGTTATGAGCCTGCACTCTAACCACCTGAGCTAACCGGCCCACCCCCACTCTTACTTTTATTGATATTTTTTTCATTCCAATCTTTTTTCTGTGTTGATTTTTCTCTTATAGGTACTTATAATATTCTTAAATATTATTTTTGTTATTCAAATGCTCTTTCGTAAACCTTATTTTCAATTGTATTAAATTCGATCCCATAGATGTTCCAAGCTAGCTTTGGGAGTTTTAAAACATGTTAATGCTTATTAGCTCCACCCCTGTATCTAAAAGAACTGGTGGTTGGCGAACAATTTGTGTTCCACCACCCAGTAGGAGGCCTTGACCTCCTGTGGCCAAGTGCAGTGGGGATTGAGGGGTGGGGTTGGGGGGGATTAGAGTAGAAGAAGCTAACCTGGTTCTTTATGTCCTCAGGTGGGAGGAGAAGATCCCTTTGGCGAAAACCACCCTGGAGAAGACCTGGTTATTCCATGAGATCGGCCGCTGCTACTTGGAGCTGGACCAGGCCTGGCAGGCCCAGAGTTACGGCGAGAAGTCCCAGCAGTGCGCCGAGGAAGAAGGGGACATCGAGTGGCAGCTGAACGCCAGTGTTCTGGTGGCACAGGCACAAGGTATGGGCTCAGACACCCTCTCTTTCCCAGCCCTTAGGCCCAGGTGCCAGGCCTGGGATGGGAATCCCAAGGGCCAATTGACCATCCCCGTGTGCCCCTGCCCAGATGAATTCTGATTCTGAGAGTGGGGAATCAGCCTCCCCCCAGCCCCCATTTTGAGCAGCACGTGGTGAGTGCCTACTGTGGGCTAAGCTCAGTTAGAGCTTGGGGCACCCTGAGAGCTAGCTGCCCTTGCCCTGGAGGAGCTCAGCTGCAGACCAGCACAGCACCTTGTCCTCATCATTACTTCCTCTTGCCTTAGTACTCTTTATCTCCCAGCATTCTTGCATTTAATCACTCTGCAAGCCAGTGACATAGGCATCCTTGTCCTCATTTTATAGATGGGGAAATTGAGGCACTGGGTGGTTCAGCAGATTGCCCCGGGTTATAAGAGGGAACTTTTCTGGGGTGTTGGAAAGGTTCTAAAACTGGGTTGTGGGGATCATTGCACAACTCTATCCATTTACTAAAAACCATTGAACTGTATCCTTAGAAATGTGTGCATTTTATAATATGTGAATTATAACAGCAAGGGGCAGGGGTGAGGAGAAATACATGAAACAGATTGGCGATATTTTGATAATTGTTGAAGCTGGGTGATGAGTAATGGGGGTTCATTATACGATCCCTTCTACTTTCGTGTATATTTGAAATATTTCACAATACAAAGTTACAAAGGAAATGGCCCCAGGTCACAGGCTTGTAAGTGATGGAGCTGGGACTAGAACCTAGTTCTGTCTGACTCTAGAGCTTGGGTTCTCAATCACTACATTAAGCTGTTGCTGCCCCAGCTATGCAGCTGACCCCCAGTGAGGGCAAAATGTGACTGGTGCTCTGATCAGGGGGCATAATCACTCATTCATTTATTCGTACCACAAATGCTCAGCGGGTACCTCCTAGGCACTGAGCTGGGCGTACAGTAGAGAGCAAAACTGATAGCAATTTCCTGTCCTCCTATCTGAGGAAGTGACTTTTAAGCAGATGCTTTAAGGATGAGAAGGTGCCAGCTGTTTTAAGAGCTGAGGACAGAGCTTTCCAGACAAAGGAACAGCATTTGGGAAGGTGGGCAGGAATTGAGCTGATCTCGTAAGCTGAAGGAGAGACCAGTGTCAGCTGGAGCTCCTGAGGACCAGGGAGGTCCCTAGAGGGAGGAGGCCTCATGGGCCTAGTTACAAATCATAGATTCTTTCCGAAAAGCATAGAGAAAACCACTGAAAGCTTTAAATCTAAATCACAGACATGATGACTGTGGCTTTTCCTAGAACTCTTTCCTGTTCCTAGTGCATTGTACAAGCTGAAGGGGAGACGGGATGTACCCCTCAGCATTGACGTTATCCCAAGTCCCCTCTTGAGGACTTATTAGACCCTGAGGGCCTCTGGAGAACCAGGCCACTCACTGCCGGCCTCAGTGTCTCCACGCTGGGGTGAAAAACTCAAATGCAGTAGCCTGGGAGCCCCTGGGCTCTAGAGGCGGCACAACCAGGCAGGCAGAACTTGGGCTCTGGGCCCTCCTGGCTCAGGGACCTTGGGCAAATGCTACTCTGTGCCTCAGTTTTATCCTCTGCAAATAGGGATAATTATAGGTATCTACCTATAGGTTGGTGTGAAGAAATAAGGTAATACTTAAGCGTATAAGCACTGAGAATAGGAACTGGCATGTAGCGAACACTCAGTAAGCATTAGTCTCTTCCTTCCTGCCCTCTCATCGGCTCCCCAGAGGTGTCTCTAACAGTGATGAGAAACAGTTACAGGCCTTGGAAAAGCCTCTTTATGGCTCAACAAAAATGTAGGTGTAGGGGCGCCCGGTTAGCTCAGGTGGTTAGA